GTGTGTGTGTGTGTGTTAAACAGACAAAGAGAGGGAGATGTGAATTAGAGTAGTTGTTTAAACCAGGTTCTGGCATTATGGATTCTGTACCACAGCCAGATGGTAAATTATCTATTCATTCAAGTTCATTGTTGTTATTAATTAAATGTAACTTGTATTATAATTATTCTAATTGTAACAGTCTAGTAATAGCACAACATTAGGTAAAGAACACATAATGACTGAAGTTTAACAGTTTGTCTTGATTTGGTATAGGCTACTTGTGACTTGCAATAAAAAGACAACCTTTACTTTAAAATACAACAAAATCTGGAAATAATACCAATCATATAATTTTTGTGAGTAATTATATGTTTTAATTACCAATAAATTGTGGGGGACAGCAGTGTAGCTACAGGAAAATGTGGTGTTAATTATGTAGGCATTTATAGAGATATATGGTATATAATATACAAGTATATTATAGTTCATAATGATTTATAGTTTATATTTTACAGAGCACAACAATGAATATAATTGAATCAAAGCAAGTATCACAGAGGAGAAGATTTGAAAGGTATTGCGTATTCAGTGGGTAGTTTATATGCTGAAGTACAGTTATGGCTGCTTACCCATCTTTTTCCCAATAGTTAAGATCTAAGTACAATAAGAAAAGACCACCTTTTACCCTCTTGTTCACAGTAAGTAAATACAGAATCTGCAAACCACACAGTGTTGGCATCCCTTGTATTGTCTTCACAAGGCTCCTTTTACACACCTTTAAGATTTCTTTCAAAGCCAATCTTTGACAAAACAAAAAAAACACATTTGCGGCAGAGGTTAAAAATTCAACATCTTTAATAAACAAAGTGTTTGATATTTACAGCAAGGTTTCGCTTCATGGCTAAAATTCGGTGACCCTCCTGAAGGAGCCGACGATGGCGCAGGTGGCGCACCAGTCGCGGTACCTCCTGTACTCCCCAGTTCTCAGGAAGTACTGTCGGCCTCGGTAGTTGGGGTACTCATAGAAGATCCAGTAGCCATTCATAACGTTACAGGAGTACACATGGCGGTGATGGAAACGGTCAGACACACAGGGGCAGTCATCCATGAACTCCATCATGTGACCGCTGAAGTCGGGCTTCTCGTAGATGCGCAATCTGTAGGAGCCTCGATACTGTGGGGTCAGAAGGGAAAGCGTATGACAAATCAAACTTAAGCAAGAGCTACATTAAAATCTTTCCTTATTGTCCTTTCTGTCTTTACAAATATAACCCACTAACCACTGGGATCATCCGGCATGAGCGGATACAGCTGCTGAAGCCCATCCACCTCTGGTAGTCGGGATATTCTCCCCGCCTCATGAAGTATTGGTGGCCCATGAAGTTGGGTCGCTCATAGATCATGAAGCAGCCACTCTCCACCCGGATGGAGTTGCAGCGGCTGAAGTACGAGTGAAGGTCCGTGCAGTCGTTGCTGCACTCATAGCTCCGACCCTGGAAGTTCTTGTCCTCGTAAAAGATAATCTAATGGGGAAATAAAAAGTAGAAGTGTGGTGAGCTGTGGCGTGGAATTTGCCTAATGACATGTTTCAGCAAAAAGAGAATTATTCAGCTCATTAAAACACACTGAGAGCAAACTGTAAAGTTCTGTAGCAACTTACATGTCATCTGAACAGAGAGGAAAAACAGTACTTACCTTGCCCATGGTCTCCGTTGGAGAGATTCCCCATGTTTTCAGGGCTTTTTATACTACCTCTTGACAAACAAAGTATTGTTATTCAAATTCTCTCATAGTTATAATTGAAGGCTACTGGCACATGTTTACCTTTTTGTTGGAGCACAACATTGGGTCAGAAATATGGATTTGTATTTGAAAAAAAGGATAAATAATTAACTGGTTTGGTGTTTTGACATGCATGGACAAAGGAAAAGACTAGTATGGTATCCACACATCCAGTGGACAATGGCTGCAGAACAATATGGAACAGCCCTTTCGCATTAAATATGTTGCGTAACAGAGCAGGAAGCCATTCACTCTCCCTAATGCTCTACCTGAGCAACTCCACTGTATGCAAATAAGTAAGTGTATACTGTGCTGTTGCTCTGTATGCTAACCTGGACATAAGATTTTGTTAGGATTCTTACATTGTTACAGTGTACTGTGTGTTACCTGTTGTGTGTTGGATGTTTTTATTTAATTTACTAAAACATTTACTCCCAGGTTCAGGTGTGGTATGGCATTTCTATCTTTGTTTGGACTTTATGGACTACAATTCCCTTGATGTATCACAGCCATGTTTGACTCTTCGAAGACTCCTCCTATAATATTACACAGCAAAATGAGTATGTGGTCTAATTTGTTTTGGGTCACTATAGAAAGTAATGACTATTATTTTACTTTATTATATCACTTTTGGGTTCACCACAGAGTGTGTGTGTGTTGTTTAGCTACTTGTTTAATTACATATAATTATTCATATGCATCCTTTCCTAGAAAATATTCTCTGTGGTGTCCATGATGGTAGATATTTGGTGGTATGGTGCCATACAACCACAACAACAACAACTATACATATACAGTATTATATAGTATCATATAAATATATATATATATACACACACGCACAAACATATGTATATATAAACTTGATATCTGAGGTTTATCTGTATCATTGATAGTTTGATTTCATTTATAACTACAGGGGCTATACACATACACCTGTAATCTAGTATTAGTTATGAATATGTTAAAATGTAAACTTATTTTTAGGTTTAAATGTTATTAATATTATTTAGTTATATCAAATAAATACAGTCATATTATTATGAGATACTTAAAAAAGCACAGGAAAAACTGAAACACATGATTTCTATTTAATCTCTGGTGAAGAAAGTGGATATTGTGGGAATTAACAAATTATTTTTGTCCAAAATATTGTATTTTAACATTGATGCTAATATATATATATATATATATGTATATATGTATATACGTATAAAATATTAAGACAACCTTTAACAGAATGTGGATGAGTCTCATAATCTATAGGTGCATTTTAAGATGCATTAAGGGCATAGTAAAGGTAATACGACATTCATCATCTTAAGTCAGTTTATTTTCTTTGTATTTCAGATTTTCCTGTCAGAGTGGGGTTGAAATTGATTTCATGGTCTGCATTTATAAATGTGTGCTTTTATTGTTCATTATATATTACTCTGAGACAGCACCTATGTCCTGCTTTACTAGATCCCTCCTGAACTATTTAGCTCATATTCTGTAATTCAGTCTGTCCAGAATCATTTGTGACATTCAGGGCACACAGTTTCCTGTCCCACACTGTCGAGTCTGTGCTGCCCCTCTCTATACAGTGTTTTGTGTTTTAATACTAATCATATGGATAAATTCCGCCATCACAGAGAGCGCCTAATCCTACCGGGGGCACAAAGTGGGAAAGGCCATTGTTTGGTATGCTACGCCTAAACATAGAGGAGATTAAACTACAGTGTAAAAGCTTACCAGAAACTATGGTAGATACATTGTTTAACCCACGGCTGCCAGACAGTTGATCATTCCACCTGCAACGATTAGTCAATTAATCGATTAGTTTTCAACTATTAAAGTAATTGCCAACTATTTTGATCATCAGTTAATGCTGATTTTGATGAAAAATTGTCTGATTTCAGCATCTCAAATTTGAATATTTTCTGGTTTATTTAGTCCTCTGTGACACTAAACTGAATGTCTTTGTGTTTTGTGGTCACCCCACAAGATATTTGAGGATGTCACCTTGGGCTTTGGGAAACCTTTTTTCCGACATTTTATGGACCAAACAACTAATCGATTAATCAGGAAAATGATCAACAGAATAATCGATAATGAAAATAGAAATCTGCACTTTGCAAATTTTAGGGGTATTTTACAAAATGATAATAAAGCTTTGTACTAGTTATTTTTTCCAGTACCTAAATGCCAGCTGTAAGGCAACAAAACTGATGTTGGCAGATACACAGAATAAAACATTCATGTTTTTTTTAAGCAGTTAAAGTTTATTGAGAAAACAGACAGTTAAACTCAGGGGAAGATGCATTTTAGCGAAGCTGGACTTCAGTTGAAGTCAGTGATTCTCCTGACGGACCCCACTCTAGGGCTGACTCCTCCCCAGTCGCTGTACCTCCTGTACTCTCCAGGCCTCAGGTAGTATGCCCTGCCCTTGTAGTTGGGTTGGTCATACAGCAACCAGTGGCCGTCCATCACATTGCAGGAGTTGAAGTCGGACATGCTGAGGCGTTCCTGGACATTCGGACAGTCGTCCACCAGCTCGTGCATCTGGCCGGACATATCGAAGCGTTCGTAGAGCCTCATCTTGTAGGAACCTCGGTGCTGGCATAGGATGGAAAACTTATTGGTCTCATAGGTATCCAGAGATATTTTAGCTGTTTTTAAAGCCTTTCACTAGTCAGATATTGACATAGCTCAAGATATAACATTTAACACAGCAAAAAAAACTCTCAAATAAAAGGAATTTTTACAGCACCTTTCAACTATAGTCTTTATGACCTACCTGGGGAATCATACGGCAAGATCTGACACAGTCATTCATTCCAATCACACGCTGGTTGTCAGAGTAGTCCCCTCTCTTCAGGTAGTACTGGTTGCCCATGTAGTTGGGCCTCTCATAGATCATGAAACAGCCACTCTCCACCCTGATGGAGTTGCACCGGTTGAAGTAGGAGTGCAGGTCGGCACAGTCGCTGCTGCACTCGTGAGAGTGCCCCTGGAAGTTCCTGTCTTCATAAAATATGATCTGCAAGAACAACCATTGCACAAAGATAGTTTATCTAGTTGAGTTGAGACACAAAAAGCGTCGGTAGAACCATAATATTTAATTTTCTTTACCTTCCCCATGGTTATGTTGGCATCAGACTGCATTAGCGGTCAATGTTGTCCCTGACCCAAGCCACTGTGCTTTATAAAAAAAAAGAAAGAAAGGACAGCTGTGTGATTGCACAGCATAAAGTATTGTCATTCAAATATATCGCCCGCAGTGATGATGGATCAGGGGTGGGGGTGGAAAAATCTGTTTATGTATAGATGACTCTTGGTGTGTAATGAGTTATTGTTCTTTCCTCTATGTTCATCACAATTTACCCCCCAGAAAGTGCCACTGTACAATAGGTAGACTGATAGAGAGAGAGCTGCACAGCATCAGCAAGATTAAATTGATATTTAATAGGGATGACACATGATAATCTAACAGCCAAAGAGATATTGAGATTTTTTTCTTTGTTATAATCTGGAACAAACATGGGCCAACATAATGTCTGAGGTAGAATAAGATGTTATTTGATATGATGTACATACAGCTCTCACTCATCGAAATAAATATAATTAAACCAATTAAAGATTACAGTATTAACAATGTGTGCTGCATTTTAAATGTCTGAGGTCCTCCTCATAACTGAATGGACTATGAAGACTCAATTTTGCAATGGTTTTATTACAATGGTGAGTCAAGAACAGGTCCAGAAATTTGTGTTCTTGATGTGCGAGTGCTTTGCAATGAGTTCCATTTTTGAGTCCTAGTATCAAGGAATCAGCCATTCTTATTCCGAATAATTTTTGAAAAGCTTCTCAGGACACTGACATTTTGTCTTAATCTTTTAAATAAAATGACCAAATATTACAAAAAACAGTCTTTTGTCATTTAGTATTTCTATAGTCTTGTAGTCTTGAGCATGAAACATTTCCAAAACCTCCATGCAGCTCTGGGATCCTTTAAAACAGATCAATAGTCCATGATGCGTCTGATGGAGCCGACCCTGGCGTTCCTGCCACCCCACTCACTGAACCTCTTGTACTCTCCAGGCCTTATCAGGTACATCCTGCCACGGTAGTTTGGGTGCTCATAGAAGAGCCAGTTGCCGCTGGTGACATTGCAGGAGAAGATGTCGTTTATGTGGAAGCGGTCCATGACGCTGGGACAGTCGTCCACAAGGTCCATCATCTGACCACCGAACTCGATCCGCTCATACAGGCGCATGCTGAACAGCCCAGCCTCCTGGTTTTCAATGGGAGAGGGGAATCGTTGGTAAAGCACTCAGAAACAGATCCAGCCATGGTTATACATCTTTTATAACAATACATTTTGTCCCATGTGTTATTTACAATCTAGCCATGATGGCTTGCCACTTTATATATACTGTCCACTGAATGATGTTTAGTCATTTGAAAATATACATCAAGACCTCTACAATACACACCGTTGCAATAATTTTATACTGGTTGTTATCTATAATTATAAAATTGTGTATAACACAAAACAATAAATAATGAATAATTTCAAAACCCAAGTCTGAGCAACAGAATTTTTTAAAGCTGACACAGAACTTATATTTTAGGCCCACTAACAGCGTCAGTTGGTTGGTCCACCACTTTGGTCCAGACTGAAATAGCTTAACAACCATTGAATGGATGGAAATTTTAATCAGCCTCAGCTGTACTATGTATTTACTGCTAATAAGCAAACGTAGCATTCTAACATGCTAAATAAAGCTGGTGAACATTGATAAACACTATTCCTGTTGGCATTTGTCACTGTGAGCAAGTAAGCATGCTAATAATAGCATTTAGCTCAGATCACTGTACAGAACGCTTTTTTTCTTAGGATAGCAAAGTCATGACCCACCTGACTCTGCCACTGATTGGCTTACTCTGACATTCTTACCTTAACCCTAACCAATCTCACTCCTCATGTCAAAACCTAACCGACCAAAGGTAACGAGTACTAGCCAATCAGAGGGAGCTATTAGCATGGCTGTAGACTTTGTAATTGTTAAATTGGCGATATACATGAGTTCGAGGACGTGCTCAACCTGTCTGAATTGACGCAGGATACACGAGGCAGCCATCGTGGGTATGTAAATGTGTTACCGGCCTAGTTATCTCTGGCCTTAAACTAAAGTTACAAACAGCAACACATTTTATGTCTTCAGATCTTCAAATTTGACTACTTTCATGCCAAAATAATAATTTTATTCCTAAATCTTTAAAAATAAAATTGACCAACATCAAACCCTAAAACTGCGCCTAAAAACATAATAGTAGCAGCTCCTTAAATTGAAATGTTAGTGTCATAGCAGTAGAAAACTAGAATAATTCAATTTTGTGAAATTTTAAATAAAGAATCATTGGAAGGATGACTTAGTTTGGTCGATAAGGGAGTCTCCATCAAATCATGATCATACCAACATCCAATAGTAATCCAAACTATTGCTCAGTATATAACTCAGCTAATGTATCTGTAAAGCCCTGGTGGGTTTTGGCCCAGAAACAGTAGCTTACCTGGGGGATGAGGCGGCAGGAACTGACACATTCAGTGACACCCATCCAGTGGTGGAAGTCAGGATACTCTCCTCTCCTCAGGTAGTACTGGTTGCCATTGTAGTTGGGTTTTTCATAGATCATGAAGCTGCCGCTCTTCACCTTGATGGAGTTGCAGCAGTTCAGGAGGCACAGCAGGTCCGCACAATCATTGCAGCATTCAACATGGGACCCAGAGAAGTTCTTGTCCTCATAGAAGATGATCTAGACATCCAGACATTTAATCAACCACCAATCTACTTTCTCCTCTTTTAATAAAAAACCCCACTAATGACTAATGGAGGCCTGTTTGCACCATTTACTACAAGTTTACTTTAATTACATATTAATATGTCATCCCGCCCCCGCCCTCCCGGGAGTGTGTGCTAAGAACTGTGATGTTTACCTTCCCCATGTTGGCCGGTTTGCCTGCCCCTGCCTTGCCCTGTGTGATCCATCCAGCTCTTTGAAGACTCCCACCTGTCACATATATAGTGAATGTGAACTGCAGACTCTGCATGTGCCATTCATATTGTAATGGACAGGAATCTTTGGCGTTTGTGCCTGAGCGTTATCCTGAAGAGATGTTTAGGAGTTATGTTTGTACAGGTGAAAGCTGACAGCTTGTATGGAGTCGGTCTGGTCTAGCAGGAGGTTTTTGTATGAAACAGTCCTGAACTCTTTGTTGTCAGTGAATGGGTGGTGTTTTTTGTACTACTCCTAAAATCCGGCCATGGTCTTTATTTTCTAGCTTATGCTTATGTACGATTTCTGCCGTCAATGGAGTTTTTGGTATGGATTTTTTATTTCTTTCACCTCTTTAGCTTTAAGTAGAACCTTACTTATTTCCAGATTTTTATTATTTTGCAATTGTATTATCAGAACTATTTCCAAAGTTCAGTTTTAACTTATAGTGTTAATGTCACATTACTGCTTTGTTCTCTTTTGTCTGAACTGCCTTTTTTGAGTCATGTGTAGTAAAATGTAATATTCACAGGCAACTTTATTTGTAGCAAAGGAACTACAGCTCCTGTACTTTATGTCAGTAATGACCACCAATTTCATTACAGTCAGTCTAGATGGGTGCAAATTAGTATATGTGTCTCTTTGTTGTTAACAGCAGTTAGTTCTACCTGGTGTTATCTTTAATTTCAACTTTACCACTGCCCTCTGGTGGAGAGCTTTGTTTCTGTTCAAATAAATACATACACAGTATCTACACACAGCCTGAACAGTGACAAACTGCTCTGAAATGTTTAAATCTTTAATTTTAAGAACAATTAGACCTGTGTTCATTTGTAGGATGTTAAAATGTATCAAAAGATAGACAAACAGTCTCACCAAAAGGTTCATTTAGTAGCTATTTTGGAGCTCATATCATATGGTCTCCAACAGCAGAGTTCAGATTTTCAGTTTAAGTCCTTGTTGTCTTGATATTCTGATATTCAAAGTCCACAGATTACTTTAAACATAATTCCATGTCAACTGGGCAAATTCAGTCTGCTGATGAAGATCATGTGATATGCTGAAAAGCTCCAAAATTGTTCAGAATGTCTAAAGATATACAGTGTCAATGGAACGTACAGTGAGTGAGAGGGAACAGGCAAAAAGACTTTGCTTTAGCTCTACAATAGATAACGCTTGAGTCTTGGTGTGGTAAGTGTCAGCGCTTGCAGTATTTTATTCAAGCCTCTGATGAGAGTCAGGATGTCACCCCATGACCCCATCACGTTTTCCTGGGAAAACATGCCCTCCAAACGAAGAGAGCAAGAACAAAACTGAATACACTTGAGCACTGACGCCATTTTATTTAGCGTGTGAAACAAGGCAAAGAGCAGACATTTCACAAGAACCGTTCTTCTGTCTTTAGAGATCCATGAGTCGCCTGATGGAGCCGATCCTGGAGTTGTTCCCCCTCCAGTCGCTGAAGGTCTTGTACTGGCCAGGCCTCAGGTAGTAGTGGCGTCCCCTGTAGTTGGGCTGCTCGTACATGAGCCAGTGGCCGTCCATCACGTTGCAGGAGTTGATATTGGACATGCGGAAACGGTCCATGAGGTTGGGGCAGTCGCCCGTCAGCTCCATCATCTCACCTCCCATGTCGAAGTGTTCGTACAGCCTCATCCGGAAGCTGCCACTGTGCTACAGAGGCGCAGGAGGGTCAAAGGGTCACTTCTCAGCAAAGATCAAATGTTCTTAGAGTCAGAGAAATACTGATACTTACATTTTGGTATATACACTTTGTCAAGATTTAGATGAGAAGACTGACACCACACATGCTTAGCTTAGCTGGCTCCTTACAAAGATAACAAAATCCATCTACAAGCACCTGTAACTTGGAATGTTTGCCGTTTACAGCCTTGAAAAAGTCTGAGACATAACCCCTTGTAAAATAGGGAATTGTCATTTTCTGACTTTGGTTTTTGAACAGTTTAAATAAAGAAGATATGACATGTTAATTACTGATTGACTGACTAGAAAGTTTGGGTGTACATTCCTTGCTAAGTAGAAATGTAGTGTTTTCAAACTACATTTGCAGTTACAAAAGTCCTTTTTTTTTTTAAACATTGAGTTGCTGTGAATTGTGGAAATACAATTCAATAGGGAAAACGGTCTAAATATAAACTCAGGTTCCCTTACATAAAAATGTATTTAATACATACATTCTGACTTTATCTGCTAACAGGCTACTTAAAAATTAAATTAAGTTGTCAAAACCCCCGAATCAGATGAGGAGCAGAAGCAACAATTATGGCTTGATATTCATCTGTTTATGATCAAATTCAGTTGTTTTAACCCTTAAGGTTATTCATTCTGATTTTCATTTTCTAAAAGTTTAGAGGCACTTTAACATATACAGTTACGGGGTTCACTAATGTGAGGTTTTTAGACAAAGATAAAAATAAGTATATTATTTTCCAGAAAGCCTTACCATGGGGATCATGCGGCAGGACCTGACACAGTCATTCAGGCCTGTCATGCCCATGTAGTCAGAATACTCTCCCCTCCTCATGAAGTACTGGTTTCCCATAAAGCTGGGGCGGTCGTAGATCATGAACATGCCGCTGTCCACCCGGATGGAGCGGCAGCGATCAAACATGGAGTGGAGGTCGGCACAGTCGCCCATGCACTCATAGTGACGGCCTCCAAAGTTCTTGTCCTCGTAAAAGATAATCTGGTGGAGCAGAATAAATCACATTCAGCTCATTTCTGACACTTGTTCAAACACATTGTATTCATTTGTGATGTAAAACTGGACACAAACCTTTCCCATGATGGCTGCTGCTGGTCAAATTTCCTGCTTTTTTCGGCCACTAAAGGTTAAGCCCATCTTTATATACTTTACCCTGTGGGAGTAGTTGCGTTGTTATTCAAATGAGGCCCTGGTGTCAGCAGAAACTCTACAGGAGTCTTCCCACTCCTTTTTGTCATGTCCTCTGTTAGGGTAAACTGACACTGTTCAGCTTCTAGCAAGAGCCACAGCATGGACAGATACTGGAACAGTCACTGCTGAGCTCTTTTACCCATCTTCTGTTTGTTTCAAATGGGATGGATTCAGTGTGTTTATACAGTATATAAGAAACTGGAGATATTTTGTAAACCTGGGCAGTTGGGCATATGAATAAATAACCATAAACAATGCTTTCTAAATATGCTTATATAGTAGCTAGTGTGGCTAGTAACAGGTGAATGCTGATGTCCCTATTGGTGCCTGTAGTCTGTAGGAATGTGACTGACAGACCAAAATACAGGGGAAAACAACCTTTTTGAATGTCCCAGAATGTGACTCTCATAAACAGTAAAATGCTTATTTAAAAAAGATAAATAAACCACTAAGATTCTAAAAGTGCCTTCTTGTTGGTATTATAAGTATGTGTGGTATGGTGGGGCCTGTAAGTCCAACAATATTACTGTAGACTCATGTGTGTGTAATAATAAAGCGTGGGAAACAGTGGTTTGAAGGAACAAAATAACAATAGTTATATTAATACTGTTATGGCCATAGACAGATTTTTGTTTTGTTGCGAAATGTCTTTTTTATGAGCCAGTTGGTTAAATCAGTCAAAACCAAAATATGCATTCACAAGCACAAAGAGAATAGTTTACAATTGATTCATTTATTTAGTTATTTAAAACAATATCATACTGATATGCAGGGTCAATCTCTTTATCATAGCCGAATGAAAACATCCCACTCCCTACTCGACCATAGGACACATTATTTTATTAACATTACCAGTTTCCACAAATACATGTCTTTTAAAAGATGAAGCATATAGGAAGAAGTGTGATGAAACTGAAATGCAAATAAAACCAAGATTAAAAATCTGTGATCCTGCGGAAGGATCCGGTGGTGGCGCAGGTGGCCCCCCAGTCGCTGAACTTGCGGTACTCTCCGGGCCTCATGAAGTACTGCCGGCCGCGGTAGCTGGGGTGCTCGTAGAGGGTCCAGTAGCCATCCATGACGTTGCAGGAGTAAATGTCGCGGCTGCGGAAATGATCCTGCACCGACTCGCAGTCGTCGCTGAACTCCATCATCTGACCCTGGAAGTTGGGGCGCTCGTAGATGCGCATGCGGTAGGGGCCCTCGCTGGTCTGGAGAGATAACAGTAGAGACAAATACAGAATTAGAACAGGGGCTTCATCATTGCAAGGAGCTCTCCACGTGTGTCTGTGGGGTCTCTTTACCCAGGATGCTCTTATTTTGTCCTGAATCTACTTACGATTGTGCCTCCATTCTTTTGCCTAGATTAACATTTAAATTTGGGATTTCAGCCTTGCTTAACACCTATAAATTCTATTTTTAAGGTAGCAAACTCCATTTCTCTCTTAAATGCATCTAGTTTAATATATTGTGGAAGTTTATGTTTGGCAAGAGGTTAAGCTTAAAACTAAATATTAGATTTATTTTAAATTTTTTGCCTTATGTATACACAAATAGAGCACACATTAAGAGCACACATTAAGGCACTTAGAAAACATAAAACACACAAACGTTGCTTCTCAGACACAAAACATTCTTTTCATGCAATGGTAATGCCTAACAGAACATGTCTAAATGGGAAACCAAAAAATCTGAGCGCAAGTACAAATATTGTCTCACATAAGAGAAGGTACGGCAGGAGCGGATGGTGTCATTGTAGCCCATCCAGCGCTGGTAGTCTGGGTACTCTCCTCTGGTCAGCACGTACTGGTAACCGCTGTAGTTGGGCTTCTCGTACAGCACCCAGCAGCCGCTCTCCACCTTGATGGAGTTGCAGCGGCTGAAGTGGGGGTGCATGTCAGGGCAGTCGGTGTCGCACTCATAGGAGCGGCCCTGGAAGTTTCTGTCCTCGTAAAATGTGATCTGTGAGTCCAGGAGAGAGAGCAGAAGCAGGGGCGAATGAGAGCTCAGCTTGTGGATAATAAGATCAATGGTCATACTAGTAAGAAAATGTTATTCTGAATATACAGTATTGATCATGTCCTTGCTGTAGAGAAATTATATAACTTGTAACCTTACAGTACATCAGCTTTTTGTTGTATTTTCTCCTGCATGCTGATTTTCTTCAACATTAAGCCAGTAAAAGAAATCAAAGACAGTTTATACTAACCAGTCTTAATCAATCGACCGTTTATGGTTTTCAAATGACCTTTTATGCTTTAAAATGTCTTTTTAATGTAGTTGAAAATGCCTTTAAATGTACTTTTTAAAGTTAAGCTGCCTATTTAACTTTGTGTATTGTTTTTGTTCTGTATGAAAGGTGTTATACATATAGAGTGTATTAGTATTATTTTAACCAGTTTATGGCACAGTTATTTTATCCGAGTGTATGCAGCCAGTACCCAATCATGATTTACATAACTACAAAACAGACCTGAATCTACATTGGTTAGAATTTTACCCATATTTGCTGCCAGGTTTATGAAGACCATTATAAACAGAAAACACAACTGACGCTCTCTTACCTTACTACTCATCTTGGAAAGAGTGCTGGAGCCAGTCACCTGCGGAAAAACAGTGGTCTCACAAAGCAGGACCAGAGCCCCGCTATATAAACCTCAATCAAAGGGTTAGCAGATCCCACTTTAGCTGTTCGTTCAATGAGCAGGGATTTAACACGCTGGCATCGCTGCCAAAAGTCTTGATCCTGGGCATAGAGCAAAAATCCCTGAATCATCAATGCAAAAGTCCTAGCAGGCAAATTACTGACCCGCTGTGCCCTCTTTATTGATATGGACATCAGATAGACAGTTTGCCCACTAATCCATCATCAAGTGGAATTTTTTCACAGAATGTCAGTGGCCATCACAATACGGCATGGCCTGTTTGTTGAATTTGAAACAGTGGCAAATGACAATAGGGAACAAAATTAAGAGGAACAGTGAATATCTACGTATTAATAATAAGAAGAATAGTTCAGCTGTATTGTTAGTGAATAAAATGAAATGCACTATTATCATTATTGCAGTCATAATCAGTGTTTGTTCTTCTTCCTACAGTGTGCTGTTTGA